TTTCTCAGGGTAGTTCACTGTTATCATCTTGAAAAAATCATTCTTTAGAGAAATTGTCGTCCCCCTTTGAAGACCATAATCTAACAATAACACTAAAAACATCTTGGTGGGTTTCACTTTTAATTCTGGCGAATATAATCGTTTAATGCCTGGCATGCCTCTTTGGCCCGCTGTCGGAGCTGCTCCGCTGGAGTGGAGAGAGCAGATGCGCTTCCAGCAGCGCCATCTCTCTATCCATGCAGGCAAAGGCTCCAGCGGTCTTGAATAATTACTCACTCGGAAAAGGAAACGGGTTGCGACCGAAGGAGCCGCAACGCATGGAGCCGTGCACAAAAAGCGAAAAGGGTTTGTGTGTGTGCGTGTGCGCGTGTGCGTGCGTGTGTGTGTGTAGTCGCGTACGTGCCCCAAAAGACGACATGCAGAAAGGAGAAGACAAGCATCTGCAGCCTGCCCTGCCAGCGAGAGCAGAGCAGCACATAGCCTAGCCATTTCACATTCGGGCGATAAGTAATGTTTTCGTGTGTTGAACATTGATGATATGTCTGTGTGTAGTTTTTGTTCGTCTCCCCGTGATTGCATATCACGTACACACATAATGGTGCGATTGCAGATGCTGCCCCCGCCGTTTTTGTGTTTCAATTAGAGCCACGGCTTGCGCTGCTTGCGCAAACAGGGTGTTGTCCACTCGAAGCCCAACTGCGTCAGCTGGCTAACAAAACTCATCCCGCGACGCGCGCGGCCACCGGCGGCCCCGCGGCCCCGCGGCCCGCGCGCCGCCTGATGCCGCTCAAAGTTGAACGAGAATGAAAGGGAACCAGCCCTTGATCCTCCACTCCTCTCCATCAGAGGAGCTTGACGCTCGATTGTCCGTCCGCGCCACCCTCCCCAGCACTTCTCTCACTCGCTCTCTCTCTCTTCCCCTCTCTGATGGTGGTGGTATATATAGGTGGCAGGGGTGCGGCGGCTGATAATGTTGGGGCGGGTTTGATTCGCGAGGATCTGATCTGCGCTCTTCATAGACTTTCACCAGTTTAGCGCGGTTCGCCCACAATCCCCAATACACTACTCACTCATACTTGTCAGCTGCGCAATAATTCCGCTCTTCACTTTTATTTCATATATTTTATTTTTCTTTGGCCCGGTGACGGTGACGCGGTGACACTACGGCCGCGGGGAATCGTCGCAAACACGACGGTTAGCATGCGGCCGCACGGCATTGTCGGGCTGCGAGGGGCCGAGGGGCCTAAGCGCCCCTCCCCACCCCACACCGCATTCCTATCGCCCTTATAAGCGGAGAATGTGGCGCTGCTTTGCATGATAGGGGCTGCGCTGCGCTGCCGGGTCTCGCTGCCGACCAGAGGGGACCAGAGGGACACACTCCATTAGGAAGGGATTCTGCCGCGGACCCCTATAAGGACGGGCGAATCAAGGGGCTGGGCTGGGCTGTCTTAGGGGCGTGTACACAAATTTCGGCACGTACTATGAATGTGGGGTAACTCTCTCACGCGTCCCGCACGATGGTTTTCTGCATCGTCGCTTTTCTTCTCCATGCAGCTCCTTTTTACGTTTCGGTGTTCGGTAGTAAGTTTGTGTTTGTGAGGCCAATATAAAACATCCTATCAAATTTTAAAATTTGGCATCCAAAACTCACCCCTTTACACGTTCCCTGCGGAATTACCACTATGTGGTGGTCACGCTCCCATGTTAAATCATAGGCATCAATAATGAGCCGCAGGGGTTATAAATGACATACAGTGTGCCCATGTGTACCCATGATACATGATGCGCAACTCTATAGCTAGGCGCCATTTTTGTCTGCTCGCATGATATGTCCTTCCGACTTTCCGATCCCAGGTCCCCCCCACCCCTACCTACCTCCACCCCCTACACCCCTACCCGACAGGCACGTGGTTTGCCTGAACGATCGCCACTTTCCTTTCGGGTCAGGGGACAGGGGTGGTTTGGGACACGGCGCGGCGTCCGGGCCGGGCGGCGGGAGCAGCAGAGAGCCGGGCGGGAGAGCTGGGCGAGCTGGGCGAACACAACAATAAGGAAGCCTCCGCACCGCCCAAAATATTAATATAGCGCCAGCAGTCGGAGGTGGCGGTGCGGGGGTCGATTGTTGTGGCAGCGGAGGCGGTGGAGGCCTCGCCGCCGGCCCCACCACTGGCCCCACCCCGCCCTCCGCCCTATGGGGCCCCGCCCGGCCACGCCCCCCAGCCCCTGGGAGACAACAACACTCGTGTCATAACGGACACCGCTGCAGATAGACATTCCAGTGCGTGGCTCGGCGGGGCGCGGCGGGGACCAGCAAGCGCCTTGGAATGTCTACCGGTGGGGTCGGGGTTCGAATACGTATACCGCCCCGCCGCCGGCCCCGCCCCGCCAGTCTATACCCGGCGTCCTATCGTGGCGTAATTGGTTCTTTTCTTTTCTAGTTTTATACCAACTCCCCCCTACCGAAGCCAGCCAACTGCCCCAGCCACCCCCAGCGGCCCCCAGCCCCCATTCGGCTAAACTATATTCGGTGGAATGGTCTATTGCCTAAATGCGTCTGCCTTTATCTCACAAGATTCAATACCGAAGCTTGTGTAGTGGCCGAGGTTGTGACAGTCGAAAAGCGGATCTTCAGTGGAAAAAATTTGTGCAGCTGAGGTAAAAATTTGTCCCTACTCAAAATTGCATCTTGCAAGACGCGCACACAGAACGTGCAACGCACCTTTATACAATGATATGGTCAAAATTTGTCCCATGCCATTTAGAGTGTACCCATACGACGGGCATGATGGGGGCGCAAAAGATTAATTTTAAACGGATTGTCGTGGCCGCGGAGTTGGATATGGCTTGGCGCCTCGCTGCGCCTCCTCCCACCACACCACCACCCCATCGAGTGGCGAGCTTTTCATTAGCGCATCACCCCCACTTCCCCTCCCCTCCCCTCGCCACCACCAGCTGCACCGACACCGGCGCAGGGTAATCATTATTCAGTCTCGAGCGAGGGGTGGGGGTGGGGAATGTGTGAGTCTGCCTCACGTTTAAAGTCGATTAAAAGTAATTTGATATCGCACGCTTTAAAAACGAAGCGCGCGCGCGCGGGCGCGCACGTGGAGTCAATCATTTGCCACCACGGCCACGACCGCCGTCGCCGACGCCCACTAGCCGCCGTATTGACCGGACGTCTCGTCGTGCTGGAGGCGCGACTCCAGGCTCCGGCTGCTGGTGTGGCTCGACCCCTCTCCCTCCAGCGACACAGGAATGCGGCGGCGCCGCCCCCCGCTGGAGAAAGGGTGGAGTGAGAGGGAAAGGGGGCTGGTGGTGGTGGCTGGAGGGGTGGCTGCGTCGTTATCACGTGCCTGAGCGGCTGCGACAACGCCTCTGGAGCGCTTCCGCAACCACCTCAGTTGTTGAGACCCTCCCTCCCTCTCCCCCTCCTCCCCCACGGCGCACTCCAGTGGGCCCCATAAACCCCTTTCCTTACTGCTGCCAACGCCGGGGACCGACCAGACCACACACAAAGGGTGCCCAATCATTTAGACAAGGAATTGGGAAATTTCGCAATGTGGCATATTATTCATCGTCACAAACAAAACTAAAATTGCATTCTTTAGAAATGACACAATTGCTTCATAGTTTTCGATGACACCCCGAGGTATTTAATAACCGTGTTTGTTTTTGTTTGATCCGCGCCGGCGCGCTGTGCAGTGCAGAGGGCGGAGAGCTCAACGCGTGGCGCTTTGCGGGGCCGCGGGGCCGCGGCGCGGGGGTGTCGGGGTCGTGTTTTAGCGGGCCGAGTCGCGTGCGGGCCCTTGTAATGAGAGGCGTATCTTCTCTCCCTCCCTCTCCCGCTCTCTCTCTCTCTCTCTTTCGCTCTCTCACACACTCGGAGGCGCCGCGGGCGCGTGCGGCGGGGCGTGGCGCCACGCGCCCGGCACGCGGCCCGCCAGCCAATATCACGCTGCTTGTTCGCGCCTCCGGCCCAAGGCACGGCCGTGTTGCGCGCACGATACGATGGCGCTGTTTGACTCCGCCCCCGCGCCGCCCCCGCGCGCCTCGCCGCGCGGCAGGCACACGTGACCGTAATATATATTTACTCGGGTGGTGTAAGTCGACGGCGATTATCATCAAAGTCCCCTTCAGTTTGGTGTGATCTCGTCCTTTTCCACTTGTTTTCCTTCAATACCCTTTCCATTTCCTTTTTTTTTTGGGGGGGGGTGAGGTGGACATAAATATGATTTGGGTTTTTGAGGAAACATATTAGAAAATTTGGAAGTTCTTCAACTTTTAGTGACATGAAATTAAAAACAAAAGCATAATGGGTGGTTCTTTACTCTATGTTTTCTAGTCCTCCTTTTCGACTAAGTAACCAGAAAATTTGAAAATTAGAAATATGGTAATGTATATTAAATAAGAACACAAGCAGAGGTGGCCCTTTACCATTGTTGATTTGTATTTAAGAAAAATTGTTTTGGCAGTTTGTAAGCAAGAGATCATCCGTCCAAAGAATTTCACATACGACTCTCGGAAGTTGTGAAAAAGTATCCATTATTGGACGAAACGTTTACAGTTGGGTATCTTCCATGGCGATTCCTTTTCGTGACGTCGTGTTTGGTACCTCTGCGGCGTGTAATTTGGACGCGTTTGGTCCACGCCGACACGCGCGCGCAGCGGGGCTGGTGTAATAAGTATTTAATAGAAGTGGCGCGCGCGCACTTGAGAGGGGTGGGGCGCTGCGCTGCGCTGGGACAATGTCGCGTGCACGCCTCCGCAACGAGCTGACAGAGCCGGCCAGCAAACAGTCGCTATTTGTTTGGCGCCGAAGAAAGGGGCCGTGGGACGGCTCCGGTCCGCCGACTAGCAGAGGCCGTTGTTCGAGTGGAATACACGATGGGATTGCGCACCGCGAGGGCTCGCGCTGCTACCAAGTGTTACAACTTCTTATTGCACCGACTATGTATACCTTGAATAACAACGAGCTTGTTTTGTTTCTTCTTGCTCCACAGGGCGTGGTGAACCTCGAGGGGGCGCCGCACCTGCTGCAGGCCGTGTACCAGACGTGGGACCTGGAGGCGGTGCCGGACGCGGCCCGCGGCGGCGAGGGGCTGGACCGGGACAGGCTCATCTTCATCGGTGAGTCTCAGAGAACCGTTTTGACAAATCATTTTACAGGGCGAGCGGTGGGCGGGGTGCGTTTTTCATGGCCCTCGAATTGAGGTCAGTGATGATGGTAGAGGATCTCTATAGACGCATTTTAAAAGTAAGTCCACAACGGGATGCGACTTTTATCATGGTCTTTCCTAAACACTATTTTCACAGCCCTGACTTGAAGTGCAAAGTCGTGGAAAGAGTACCCTCGCCTAAAATGACCTCTCTTGCGACGTTCAGACAGAGAGAGAGTGTTGTGCGTCCGACCGTCGCACCGGCGTATTGAACATGTTTTGAGTAGTATACACACCGTGACAACGATGTCCTTCTCCATCCGCCGCAGGTCGCAACCTGGAGGAGAAGAGCCTTCGCCGCCTGCTCGAGGAGTGCGTAGATGCGGAAGCGCAACCGCCGCCGTCGTATTCGTCCTTGTCTCGGTGATGATGAAGCACGACGACGCCCAACTCGTCTTTCGTGGAAAATGTTATTTTATTACTCCGCTGGATTGTAATTTTCGTCGCCCGTCCCTCGTGTTTTGCCGCTTACCTTAACCGGTGGGGGTAAAGTCCCAGTTGACTTAACGGAAATAATACTGTTTTATTGCCTCGAAACTCGCGCCCTTGCTTCTCCTTCTCCTCCTTTTCATTATTCATGTCGTTGCTGCCGTCGTCTTCTCAAGTTTGGCACGCCTGCTTTGGCGCGGATTACAAAGCCACCCTTTACCTCTGGCGGGACCAGCCGGGAATACCTTGGAGTCGCTCAGGCAAGTCCAGCCCCCACCTTCCCTTTCCTCCACGCCGCCGCTGCTCCCACCAAACAAGCAGACGACGCTGGCGAACGTTTTCTCCAGCGAAAATCTCCAGCCATTAGGAGGCAACATAATGTTTTCCAGCACATCAAAGTGCCTTTCGCTCGCCGAGTTATCCCCGCCGCTGGCGGAGCGCGACAATCCCCGGCGGAGCGGCAGCCAGGGGAAAGTTTCGGCCCGGAAATAAAGAAAGCGTTTTATACCTTTGATGTCGTGATGTCGCCACGGTAAACAGGCCGCTTCGTCCAGCCCGCCGTAGAGCTTATACCAACTGGAAATGAAATTCACCAATCCCCGGGCGAGTTATTATCCGCCCTCTATTTTTTTCAGTGTTTTCCTTTTCCTCCTTTCTCCCGGTTCTGGTCGATATGCGCACACATGCCCACGCGTGCGCCGGCGGCGCGGACTGACATGAGACTCCTCCGTTTTGCTTTTTATTATTATACGAGTGACATGAAAAGGCGAGCGGGAAAATGTTATTGGATTTCACCCGGCGCATGCGCGTCGCCCGTCGCCGTGTTTCTCTAGCTCCTCTTTCTCCTGCCTCTTCCTTCTCTCCCCTCCTCCCTCCTCCCTCCTCCCTCCTCCCTCCTCCCTACCCCCTTCTTCCTGCCTCTCCCTTTCTCCACTAATATGTAACCAAAGTACCATAAGAGCATGAGGGCTTTTTCTCAATTTGTTAAAAGTGATATCATTTTTACGATTGGTCTGATGATTTTTTTGTTGTTGATAAAAGCCGCTTCAGGCATTATTTTTGTAAATTTGAATATTGTTGTTGTATTGTTGTAACTGTCCATTCGGCTCAGTGACATACTTGACAATAAACAAATCTCGAATTTCGAATTTCAAGCCTCAAACGCTTCCTTTCCTTTCTCCGTGGCTTCCCGCCGCTGAACGACGACGACGAAATGAATTCGTTGGTGCCGGGCGGGTATATGCATGCTATGGGAAAATGTTAAAGCGGTTCGCGAAACGGAAACCCGAGGGGAAATATTTTGTTTGCGTAGTTGCTCCCCGTCCTCTGCAGCCACAGCCACCGAAAATCACCGCATACGTGGTACTCCTGAACATGAACGGCGGTAACCTGCTTCTGCCGTTTCCCGTGTTCGTACATTTACATTTGTGTGACAGTAGGACAGCAGTCATATCATTCAAATTATTGTAAATAGCTCTAAGAATAAATAGCTTAGTTATTTTCTTTATTGGTGAAAGATGAGGGAAATAGATGTAATTAGCAGAGCAAAAGAAAATAACTAAAACTAAACCTAGAAAAGTAATGTCCAATGTTTTTAGAAGCGAACGTTCTAAAAACGGGGCGCGTTTTGTTGCTCCATACTCCGGCCGGAGCGACCAAGCGTGGTAGTATGAAGTGCCGGCGAGCTGCGCGGGAGGTTGACCCGCCGCCTGTGTTGGCGTCCATGTTGGCAATGTGGAATGCGCCGGTGGAATGTGCGATATCACATAACATTGACCACCACTGCGCCACCCTCCCTATGGTGCCCGCCCCCGCTCGGCCCTCTTCCCTCCCGGATGTAATGGGCTTGCTGCTCACTGGCCGGGTGGCTGGTGGTGCATTTGGAGCGGGGGGAGGTAATAAAGGGAGGTGTGCGCGCCGCGTCACGGGCGGCACGCCCCCGCAATGCTATCGACCTGAGAGTGTATCGATTGGGCGTGGCGCGCGCTCGGCGGCTCAGCCTGGCGGCGGGCGGGTAGGCAACCCGCTGCGTCGGAGTGACGAGCGGGCCGGCCCACCTCGCGGGCTCCAGCTGCGCCCGGGGCAGGAAGTAGTACCCTCACCCTCTAAACCTTTTACCAGAGAAACGTTTCGTAATACTGTACCAGTAAAAAGTTTAGTACCATTAAAGATTTTCGTATGGTAATATAGAGCAGCACCGGCACAAGACTCTAGTAGTTGCTAAGCAAATTTTCTATTAAAACGGTTGGAGTTTATTCTGTTGTTTTTCTATAATTGTTTTGAAAACTAGTTTTGTAAATTTTTGTTTACCTTTCATTTTTCTATAATTGTTTTAAAAACTAGTTTTGTAAATTTTTGTTTACCTTTCATTTTCCACCGCTCCTCTTCTCTATGAGGTAGCCGGAAGGGAGAGCAACGCATTGCATGCATACGTGTATAGCGGGATGGGAGTAAAAATTGTACCGCGCCGATTTGCTCTTATTTTTCTTTGGCCCTTTGGCTTTGGCCGGCAGCCGCCTCTGACTGACTGACTGACTGACTGGCTCCGATGGACCGCACAGGACTGGATTAGGATATCCGGCCGAGACCGCGCGGGGTGTGTGATGTCCGGCGCGGCGGCCCCGGTGCTTATTTACAATCCATCCCATGCACAGCACAGTATGACAATTTGGCGGTACGCGCGGCCCCCGCGGCCCGCGGCTCGCCAGCGAGCGGCTAAGTCCCAGCTGCCAATATAAGAAATACCCAAACACCTTGATTTCTTCGAGGAAACGTTCTGCCTCGTGAATTTTAATTATATTTTAGGCCTTTGGTCATCCCTGGTGCGAGAAATAGTCTGTGTTATGTCTGAAATACGACTTCCCGAGCGATTTGTTGTGTCTCATAACCTTTTTGTACCTTCGTGTATTTCTATTTATTACTGCAATTTTCGCAAAGCTGCCGTTATTTATCGATGTTCTACATAAAATCATGTTATTCAACTTAAAGTGACTGCAATTTCTCAAGCTGTCAACGTGATCATTGCCTTGATTTCTTCAAACGTCAAAGTGCCCTTTAACAACCAACCTGGGGTCATTCTTGACATCTTTAAGACAGTTTATTTATCTCACACTTTTCTTTAAAGGCAATTGTTAAGTGAAAATGCAATCTCCTAAACCAAACCTTAAACTTAAAAACGGTTTTAATGGTTCAAATAGTATTGAAATAACTTAGTTTTTAGCATAGAAAAATGTCAGAAGTGTGAACTTGATCCCAAGAAATACCCAAATATGTGTATTTTTTTATCAAAATTTTCCAGAAGTCCACACGATGAACTTTTAGTTTTAAAATAGCCAACCTAGGCTTAAAATGAACCTAAGGATAATAGGTACAAACGTATGTTTCTAAATTGTAAGTTTAATTCATACTTCCACATGAACAATGTAGATGGAACCAACATTAAAATTCTTTTCAAAGAAATTTCCCAAAATTTCAGTTTTTTGAATCTGTAATATATAAGTCTGAACAAAATTAAACATTCGTGAACATAAGTTTGTTCCTCCTCACCTTAGGTTCATTTTAAGCCTAGGTTGGCTATTGTAAATCAAAAAGTTCATCGTGTGAGGTTCCGGAAAATTGTGATTAAAAAATACACACAATTAGGCATTTCTCAGGAACCACTTCACATACCTCTAATGTGCCTATGTTAAAAAGAATGTCATGTCAGTACAATTTAACAACTGAAACGATTTTTTTTACTTTTGTACTTTAGTTTAGAAGATAGCAGTGTCTTTACTGTTGCAGGAAGAATCACCTGCTAAGTGTGAATGTGCCATGCCAGCCAAACGACATCAGAACATGAGATGTACGAAAACATCAATAAATGCATGCTAGTTGTTGACTATTAAATAAAAGTTTCAGTGAAAAGATAAATTATATGAAAATTTGTATTGCTGTTGTTAGTTGCAACAAGGTGTCAGTCATAACAGAATAGACTAAATATTTTTAACTTTGAAGCTTTAAATGATAAGAGCCAAAGTGACAAATTTTCAAGTTTTTAATGATGCATGCATTTTAATACAATAAAATTTAAAGAAACAATATAGCAGTTTATTCATTCTATTTATTACTATACACCTAAACTTTTATAATAGTCAACAAACCAGCATGCATTTATTGATGTTTTCGTACAACTAATGTTTGATGTCGTTTGGCATGGCACATTCACATTAAGCAGGTGATTCTTTCTGCATCAGTACAGACAGAGCTGATGGTTACATCCAAATCAAGGTTGAACTTATTAAAGGAAAGTGTGAGATAAATAGATGACTGTCTTAAAGATGTAAAGAATGACCCCAGGTTGGTTGTTAAATGGCACTTTGATGTTTGAAGAAATCAAGGCAATGATCTCGTTGACAGCTTGAGAAATTGCAGTCATTTTAAGTTGAATAACATGAGTTTATGTAGAACATCGATAAATAACGGCAGCTTTGCGAAAATTGCAGTAATAAATAGAAATACACGAAGGTACAAAAAGGTTATGAGACACAACAAATCGCTCGGGAAGTCGTATTTCAGACATAACACAGACTATTTCTCGCACCAGGTATGACCAAAGGCCCAATATATAATGAAAATTAACAAGGCAGAACGTTTCCTCGGAAAAATCAAGGTGTTTGGGTATTTCTTAGGGTGGCGGCTGGGACTTAGCCACTGGCGAGCCGCGGGGACCGCGCGCACCGCCTAAATTGTCATACTGTGCTGTGCATGGGATGGATTGTAAATAAGCGGCCCCGGTGCACTGCAGGATTAGCAAATGTTTGTCACCGCACCGAGTCCAGCGCGGCCGTCTGCCGGCTGGGGCTCAAGCCTTGATCTCTCTCTCTCTCTCTCTCTCTCTCTCTCTCTCTCTCTCTCTCTCTCTCTCTCTCTCGTGCTCTGTGAAGCAGGATCAAAGGGGCCGGGGCGGTCAGCGGCAGCTTGGCGTGTTGTGAGAGTTAGCGTACACAATGAAATTTGTTTGGGACTGCTGCACTGCGCGGTGCGGCCCCAGCCTAGAGTCGCTTTGGCGGCCGCCTCCCGGCCGGCTCGGCTGGTGGGAAGAGCTGCAGGTGCGACCGACTCTCGGA